ATTAACACTGCGGATATGGCTGTTTCTCGGGCAGCTAAATAGATATATAGAACTTCCCCCATTTGTGGCTTTGCGAGCATAGGGAGTCGCTTGAGGTGTTCTTTTAATTCCTGGAAGGCTTTTTGACATTCATCGGTCCATTGGAAACCCCTCCCTTTTCTTAGGGTTTTGAAAAAGGGGAGGCTTCTCTCTGCTGCTCGAGATAGAAACCTGTTGAGTGCTGCTAGGGATCCTGTGAGTTTTTGTACGTCCTTGACAGTTTTCGGGGCTTCCATTGAAAGGATTGCTTCAACCTTTGAAGGGTCTACGCTTATCCCATCCTTGGATACTTGAAATCCGAGGAACTTCCCAGACCCTACACAGAAGGCGCACTTTTTTGGATTGAGTTTCATGTTGATTTTCCGCAGGATCGTAAAGATCTCCTGCATGTCCTCGACCACTTTGTAGTCCGAGTTGCTCTTGATAACCATGTCATCCACATATATCTCGATGTTCCTCCCTATTTGATTATGGAAGGCTCTGTTAACCAAACGCTGGTAGGTGGCTCCAGCATTCTTCAGCCCAAACGGCATTTTGTCGTAACAGTATACTCCAATCTCCGTGATATAAGCCGTCTTTTCCGCGTCCTCCTCGGCCATATGAATCTGGTGGTATCCTTTATACGCGTCGAGGAAATTGAGAGTCCTGTAGCCCGTAATACCTTCCACCATTTGGTCAATTACGGGCAGGGGGTAACAGTCTTTTGGGCAGTATTTGTTAAGATCTGTGTAATCTTGGTACATACGCCAGGAATTGTCGGGTTTGCGGACAAGGACCGGGTTGGCCAGCCAGGTTGGCCAAAGCACCTCTTTCAGGATGTTGGCTCGCACTAGCTTGAGGGTTTCTTCGTTAATCACGTTATTGCGATCTCGGGCGAAGATCCTCTTCTTTTGTTTGACCGGTCTGACATTTGGATCAACGTTCAGCTTGTGCTCGATAATGTGTCGAGGAACTCCGGTTATATCGGATGACGACCATGTGAAGATGTCTCGAAAGGTCCGCAATAAGGCGATTATTTCAGTCCGCAACGCACCCCCAATGGATATCCCTAATTTGATAGTTTTTCCTGGTTCTTTCTCGTCTAAGATTAACTCTTCCGTCTTACTGCTGAGTGGTGGGTTTTGCTCATCAACCGCGCTCGAGACCTCTTGCTTTCTCTCTTCATCTTCGACTTTTGCCACACCTTGCTGAATCGAGTAGCATCTTGATGTGGTGACTGCCAGCTCCTGCTTTGCCGCTTTCTTCCCTACCTTTACTGCCATGAGAAGACATTCTCTAGAGCTGCGTTGACAGCCTTGCACTATTCCTATCCCGTATTCCGTTAGGAACTTCATAACTAAATGGTAAGGTGACCATATAGCGCGGGCTTGGCACATCCACGGCCGTCCTAGGATCACATTGAATGGCGAGGGAGCATCAATTATGGCGAAATCCATAGTTAGATTTACCGTTCGAGGATACGTCCCTACCGTGATAAGAAGCCTGACAATCCCGCTTGGGATTATCGTGTGCCCGGAGAAGCCCATCAATGGCAAGGTAGCAGGGCGCAACTCTGGGTTTTGTATATTCATTCTCTTGAAACAATCATTGTAGATGATGTTGACTGCGCTACCATTGTTGACGTACACGCGACTTACCCCCACGTTGCCTATGATGGCCTCGATAACCATGGCATCGCTGTGGGGGCACACGTCGGGGACGACGTCACTGTCAGTTAAGACGATCGCTTCAGTTCCTTTAAATCGCTTGTGACTTGGCTCTTGTGGTGGAGTTTTTGTTACTTGCCGAACAGAGGCTTTTAGTGCCGTGGTGGAGAGGACTTCAAGAGGTGCTCCATAAATTGCTCCAACATTGTGGGTAATCTGCTTAGTGGGATCGAGAGGAGGTATCTGCTGTATAGGTTGCGGTTTGTTATCGAGAGCTGGTTGGGTAGGATATTGTGGATTATCCCTCGGCTGCCAGTTGTTTCCTCAGTTATCTCTACGAGGCCCTCGATTATTGTTTCGCCTGGGAAAGTTGCGAGAACCGCCGGGTTTATCTCGAGAACTACGGGTATCTCCTCGAGCAGTGCCTTGTGTGTTCTGCACATATTGCTGGAATTTACCGGGCTTCACTCCCGCTTCAATTTCTCGTTTGAGCTCTCGACAATCCTCCGTATCATGTCCATGATCCTTATGATACTTGCAGTACTGATTCGTGGACCTATTCGGGTTATGAGTCAGTGGCTTCGGAGTTGGAAACTCGTCCTTATGGATCTGAAGTATTTCCCGTCGAGGCTTTATCAATGGAGTCAGTAACCTGTCGAGCCTGGGTAGCGAGGGTTTGTTCTCAACCTGAGGTTTATATCTGTCCTTTCCCCCTCGTTCCCCTGCGATTGAGAAAGATTCCTGGGAGTTTTTTAGCGTTTGTTCCCGTTGGATATAACTTTCTACCATGGCCCACATCTCTTGAGTGTTCTGTGGAGGTTTAGTGGTTAACTTTACTCGTAGGGGGGCGGACTTCCCCCAGGGATTGAGTCCTTGGATGAAGCTATTCCTTACGTCTCTGTCATCGAGATTGTCAATTTGGAGAGATTCACGGGTGAAGCGACGATGGAAATCTGAAAGGGTCTCATTGTGTCCTTGTCTTATGGAGGATAAGTCAATGGACATTTTCGTGACTTGCTTGCTGAGGAAAAATCTGGTGGCGAGTTTTACTGTGAGATCCTCAAAGCTATCAATACTTCCCTCTGGCAACTGTCCAAACCACCGTTGTACTTGCCCATCTAAGAACAACGGTAAAGCCTTCGCCATGAAGTCTAGAGATGCATTACGAATTCTCATGACTTGCACGTATTTATTGAGAAATCGCTGAGGATCAGAGTCCCCTGTGTAACAGGTGAAGTCTTTGGGGAAGTCAAAATCTTTAGGTTTTGGACAGTCTCGAATCCTGGGGATAAAAGGACTCCTGTCAACGATCATTCCTATCATCCTTCGCATCGAGTCTCGAATCGAAGGGTCCTGATTGCTCCAATTATCTTGATCCCGGGGAGGAGGGTCTTTTCCTCGACGGTGACCATGCTGTGATTTTTTGTGCGTCCCGTTTGGTCCCAATCGAGAGTGAACATTTCTTCTCGGGGGTTCCCACTCTCTCTTGGACAATTCCTCGACACTGGGTGATTGTCGGCGATCTTGTCTATGAGATTGTTTCTTATGTTCGTGCTCCAGTGCAAACTGCTGAATTGCCTGATAAACCACCGAGTTTGTCCTTTCGAGTGCTTCCCAGAAAGTATCACTGGGGGTTTCGGAATGTTCATCACGGGAAACTTCCCGATAGGCAGTTTCTTTGAGTTCTTTCCTCCCCTCCGTTTGGGACTAGACGCTTGCCTCTTCTGGTTTCGAGGAGACCCAGGGTCCTCCTCGCTTCTTTTTCCTCGATTAAGTCTTCCATCTCTTGTTTTGTTGGGTCAGGAAGACCTAACAAGCAGCAGTGTTTGTACTCCTCGAGGATATATTTCTTTTTCCTTTGGTTGAGGGAATTATCATCCTTCAATTTTTTTAGTTCCGCTTCGATCTCAGCCAACCGCTGTTTCTGGTATGGATCGGGGTTTTTGCGGTGACGATTCTGATCGGTTGGTTTGACAGGAGTGGTTTCTTTTTTGGTTCGGTGATCATTCCTTTTCCGTTTCTGCCTCTATTGGAAGTGTGCCAGAGTTTCGCCATCCTCGGGGCTTGTCTGTCTGCCGGTTGACACAGCACTGGATTGGGGGCTATCGGCTCCCACCATCTTTCTTGGCACTCGGGAGGTGTTGGAAGTGAATTGAAAGGCTTTGAAAAAAGCTTGAGAAAGTTTAGTGACACAAACCATATTTTTCGGGTCCCACTGGGCGTGCCACTTGGCGATACCCGGAATTGTACCGCCGGTGTAAGGTGGAACTCCGACTAGGGTTTCCTGTAAAACAGAGCCTCGGGCGTCTCCCGAGGGTAGACACTCCGAAGCTTAAGTTAGAAAATAGGGTTATGTATGTGTTGATATGATAGTTAAGATTGCGTACCTTTAGTGGGAAATAAAGGTCCCTATTTATAGACTTGGGAGGAATCCGATTCCTACTAGGGTTAACAATAATAAACCGCCACATCGGGATGGTCTCGACCCCAAGACCAAGTAGTGGGCCGGCCCAGTGATGGTGATGAATCTGGATTCGTCACTTCCTGTTTTTTATGGTTCCTGATTTACTTCGTAAGATGTGTTTGATGATGAAAACATTAAACGGTTTGTGAGAATGGTGAAGATTTTTTGAATGGAGGAAGCTTTTCTGGATGGTTGGAGTAAACAGTGCTGGATGATTCACTTTTTGGAAGCAGGCTATTCCGCCAAACACCCCAAACTAGAGTTTCTGATTTCTTCTGTTTCAAAATATATTCCTCTCTAATGCTTTTTTTTCATCTGTATCACAAGACTATGAAGAAGTCTCAAACATTTATGGAAAAAGTTTTAAAGCTATCAAAGTACCGTCAAATAAGGTTTTATTCATAGTTTTCTTATTTTTTGTCTTAGTTCACTTGTTTATTAGTAGTTTTATTTTCTAGGGAATAGCCTCCTTTCATTGTACCAAAAAAAATAAAAAATTGTATCATCATACCATAAAAATCGTACTCTTCTTTTAAAAAAAGAGAACTCTTTAATTTGGAATACATGAGTACAAATTATGTGCTTTGTCTTTCAACCTCATTTGTCATAAATTTTTCGTTTATTCTCCAAAGCAGTCTCATAATCTGGTCAAAATTACAGTTTATGGTCCATTAAAAAGGATTAAAATGTAATTTTAATGAAACCTAATATCAAATGTATGGCTACCAAACAAAAAAAATAAATAAATAAATAAACAAGTTACCTCACAAATTAGAGGGACCCAAGATGCAATTTATTTTCTATACATTGCCGTAGAGTTGAATTGGGACGACGATGTACTTTAGTGGCTACTCGTTACCCCTAAACGATGGCTCAGGCTGTTGGCCTAGCTTCTATGCTTCCTGTTGACGAGGACATGGAGATGACGGAATCGGGCACAGAAAATGCTGCAGAGGTACTTCATCGAAGTGTCTTCTTCAACGTATCCATCGATGACGTAACGAAACTCTTATCAGGTATATAATAGCTCTCTAGGATGAGGCAATAAAGCTTGAATTAACGGACAAAGACTGATTTCTTATATGGCTACACATTTACTTTCTGACAGATTCAATTGATTTCTCATAGGGGCGTTTCGCGATACGGGTTCGGGGGAGGTGGCAAATTTCACATCAGCGCAATTAAGGGAATTTTCTCTGGACTTCAAAGATAGAATTGGTCCTTTTCATTTTGGTGCGGTTTATCGTGGAAATATTAATGGCAAAACTCCTGGGAGTGTTCTTCTGAAGATTTGGGATGATTACTATGCAATATACTTGGAGACTCGTGAAAATCCAAACATATTCATTGATGTATGTTATGGACCCTCTCTCACATGTGTGATCTTGAGTATCTGCCCTTATTTTTTGTGTTTATAATTTTTCTGTGTTTACTACTATGACCATATTACATACTATCTGTTATTTTACTTCCGGTCTTATTCTGATTCTCCTGTCATTTCTTTCTTTATATTTTGTGTTCTTTCCGGAAGGAAGAAGCAATGTTCTTGAAGGACAAAGCGATTGCTTCCCATCCGAGTTTTCCAAAGGTGATTGGTAAATGCTGTTCAGAAAACCTCAGGGGTGTTGTCTATGATCTTGATCCACTGGATTCCCTGCAAAATATGATGCCAAAAAGTAATCCATACCTGTACATTGTGTTTTCTTTTCTTCTATGTAGGACTCCGTTATGTTTGGTGTGTGAAATGCATCTATGTTACAAAATACCATCATCACTGGTATCCTTCATTTATTTTTGTGCTTTCACTGTATGTGAGACCACTTAGGGCGCAGTTACTGCGGTTAAATTTAGGCAATTTTCTAGTATTCTTATTAAGCCTATTGTTAATATGTTTTATTATATCTTATTTTCCACATGGGCAGACAGTTTTGGCTGGGCTCAGAGGATCAGGGTTGCTGTTAAACTTGCTCAGCTCCTAGAATTTTTACACTGTCAAGAAAATCCATATGTGGTGCTGAATCTCAGTGCACAGCACATAATGTTGGACCATGTGAGTAGCACGGTGATTAGATATGGTAAACATAAGCCATGCCTGGCAATGATTTATTGTCATGCTGATTATTATAATTGCTTTTTCCCTTTGAAATTAGATGTTAAACCCAGTGCTCATTGACTTTGGTTTGCTGAGTGGAGGAGTGATTGGAGAACTAAGCTTCATAAAAAAACGTGTAGCCCTACCTCAAGGTTATGGTGACCCAGATTACGTAATGGGTATGTAGCTCTAGTGTATTCTTCGTTTTTCTGGTTTAATGATCAGAAGCTTTTCACCTCTGTCCGAGGTTTTCATGAAACTTTCCTTGATCTGATCATGGTTGTGTTACACCTGTTGTTGACTATATTACTTGGTGCTGCTGGATCGGCTGATAAAAGTGAGCAACATTTTTTGCTGCTTCATGGGACTAAAATAGTATGGTTTGACTTCTTTTATTTATCACTTGCATTTGGTTTTGCTGGTGTCTCATCGAAGTTATTATTTCTCAAAATATGCTCTAAATAAGGGCTGCAATAAGACTGTTCCAAAGCCACGATATCCTCAATAGTGCACAAGAACAGAAACACATGACACCACGTTCTATGATGTACTTTCAAAGAAAGACCTTATATCACATTCTTCGATTGCTTTTAGTTACTTATACAGATCAGATTGAGTGCCCTTTGTATGTTGGAAATTTGTTTGTTAGCAGTTCATGTTCAGGTTCCTTGGCTTTTCTTTCAAAAAATGTTTGGCAATATGCTTGGTCATGATGAACTTGCTTTGTAGGTGCTCCTTTGCATCCGTGTTGCGATGTCTATGTTTATGGCATGATACTGGTTGGGATCATAGCCAAAAGGATTGTTAAGGAGGAAGATCTGGATAGATATGCTCCTGCTCTGGATTTTTGGGCCGAAAAGGAGTACAAGTCTGGCGTTCCACTTGTCCACAAAAGCCTAGAGTCAGAATGGGGATTTCATGCAACTGATGCTTCTTCGTTAACTGAATTGGCTATGTGGAGCATGAGAGCATACGGAGCTGATCGGCCAACTATGACACAAGTAGTAGATCATTTGAAGAAATTACAAATCGTTAAGGACCTAGTAATTGTGTGAAGCTAAGTCGTAGCCAATGTCACCTTGGCCCTAGCAGTAAGAAAATGAAATATTCTGTTTACAAAATGGTAAAGTGGTTGTACCGTATCTAGTAGTTAATTTGTTTTAGATTATTTGCTTTTATTCTCTCCGTCTATTGACTCTATCCGCATGTTTAGTACATATAGCTGACCTTAGCATGGTAGTTTTGGATCGATAGCGTTGTATGTTGAATTTTGCATACAGTGCTTGGTAACAGGGGATAGTTAAGTTCGAAACATAAATCATAAACTTTGTGATGATATAGCTGCTAGTACGGCTTTACTTAATTAATCAGTGTGAGTTCTCCTCTTTATTTGTCCATTAACTTCAACCTTATTAATTCCTTTAACTATATTACAATGTTAGTAAATTCAGTATTTTCTCCATTTCTTCTACTCTTTCCGTCTCAAAAAATTATTGTTCAATTTGAGATATTACTTTTACTACACTTTAAACTAAAAATGAAATTCCAAACTCGATAATAATTTTGGGACGGAGAAAGTATAAGATATTGGCTATTGATAAAGTGCGATGAAGTGCGATGATGCTTGTGCCTTCTCAGTTAAGGAATTTTTGCCGGCCGGCAGTGCCGACACTATAGCGGTGGCCGACGATGGTTAATGGCGATGAAGAAAAATATTTTTTTTAATTTAAACACGGTTTGAAAATCAATCTCAAAATATATCTCAAATAAGCAAACACGTAAAATCGCAAAACACAAATAAAAAAAAAAACAATTCAAACAGAGCCAAAAACCATTTCTCTTCTCCCGTCACTGTCAAATTCAACAATTAACAATCAAAAATTGCTCATCCATTTGCAACCACGGATAGTGTTCCGAGTAGATATGACCATGGTTCGGGTTTAAACTAGAACTGGATAAGAACTGGCCCTAATGAACCGGACTGAAATTGTAGAAAGTGATTTATAAAATTGTAACTAGACGTCATCTAGTCAAAGGCCGGTTACGGTTCAAGTATTAGAAAAGTCATAAGCCGACGGTTTTGAACAAGCGGTTCAAGCCATAATAAATAACCAGTTAAATGCTTGTTTGATTAAAAAGATAATTAATTACAAAGAAAGTACCAAAAAGTTGCTCCGTGTCTTCGTTTGGTACCAAAACTTTTTTTTGTTCCTATTTGCCACTAGAAAATTAAATAGTGTTTCCAATCAAAATTCTGTTCGGATTTCATCCAAAAAGTAACGGTCAACCCATTTTTCACGTGAAAGGCACATGTGTCGACTAAAGGGTATTTTGGTCTATTCAAATTTCAAATTTTGAATTTTAAAATTTCAAAAATAAAATAAAATATTGATAAAAAATTATTTTCAGTTTTTTTTTAGGATTAATTTATAAATAAATATGATTTTTAAATTCCATTCTTTATTTAAAAATATGAAAAAACGACAAAACTCATCAATAACAACAATTCAATCAAACAGCTTTCTTTTTTATCCCCCTTTCTGGGGTGTGGCTGAATCGAAGCCGAAGCGGGGAAACAGCAAAACCACAGTTCAGTGTTCAGAAATCAGAACAACAGATAAAACAGAGACATTGGTTTTGTTTAGTCGTTTGATCTTTCTTTTCCATCTTCAAGGGCTGTTGGTTTGCTAAAAAGACAAAATCATTGGCGGAACAGAGGGGCAACCACCCTTGAGAAATGCCACAATCAAACAGCTTTCTACTTCTCGGAATTGCCACAATTCCAGCCATGGAAGACGATGACCCAGAATCCATCTCGGCTTCCGAATTCCAGCCGCCGAATTTCATAACCCTCTCCCCATTTTCCCTGACCTCCGTGGCGGCTTCCAAGCTACTTCCTTGAACACATGTATTGTATTTTCAAAGCCTAAATCCTTAAATAAAGCTACCGAATAAATGAAAAAAAAAAATTCGTTTCATCAGTCACAGATGAAAGGTGAAAGGTGCAAGGGATTAAAATTCAACAAATGAATAACATTTCACTTGGGAATTTTATCGAACACCTGAATCTAAGCAAGTACAATTGGTATGTATGTCGGTAACCAGATTGGCTAACTATGAACACTCAAATGACAGAGTTGCTTTTATCATGCACCAATCTATTTGAATTTCAACAATACTCTCGCAAACAATCAAAGAAAACGGAAAGCTTCGGCCAAAAAGTCCAAACTAACAATTATTTTTGGATCTAACTTCACGAATTATTAATAATCGAAGTCAAGACCCTCAGATCCTGGCTACCGAGCATCTTAGAACCCCAAAATAAGATAACTAACTCAAAAAATTCCAAGACCTTAGCTAGCCCTGACCGAAGAGGGGGAAAAAAAATACTCAATTCACAAAGGGAAAGAATCAAAATAAATCTTAAAAAAGTAATTGGCAAGACAAATATATTGAATTTGAAATGACAGAACCAACAATTGCAGAACATGGGAACGGTGGGAACGAACCAGTGGTGGCCGTGAGCCTCTTCCATTTCCGGCGTCCTATCGCCGTGATTCTGCCTCGTTTTTACATCTTTGTTGCCGAGACTACCAATTGAAACCAGAAAACTATTTTACTCAGACGAATACAAAACCTTCTCTGTTCATCAGTGGGTTCAATCTTCGCGAGAGAGATTTAGAATTTAAACGGAATGGTGATGGCGGAGTTGATGAAGGTGGAGCGGTGGACGGAGATAATGAACAGAGTGGTGCCGAAAGTGCCTGAGGATTAAAACGAGTCCCCAGCCGCTAGCAAGATCTGGAAAGCACGATGGTGGCAATCGATGATGGTGATGGAAGGCAAGACGCCGACAAAAATCCGGCGACGGGAGAGAAGCAAATGGCCGTCGATCTAATAGAGGTGAGGATTGCCGCTTTCAATTTGGGATTTACGGTTTTTGGAAAAGAAAAGAAAGGAGGAAAAATGTAATACTTTTGATTTTTTTTTGAAATTTAAAAATTTAAACTTTGGAATTTGAAAAGACCAAAATACCCTTTGGTCAACACATGTGCCTTCCACGTGAAAAAAGTGTTGACCGTTACTTATTTATCGGAACCCTAACAGAAGATCGCTTGGTGACACTCTTTAACTTTTTAGTAGCGCGTGATCTATTTTTAAACATTTGGTATCAAATGAAGATAAGGAGCAACTTTTTTTATATATAGTATTTATGCTTTTAATTAATTGTTAAAAGAAAAGGAGCAACTTTTTTGTACTTTCTCTATAATTAATTGTTAAAAAGATACTCAGGTTTTATGTCATTTTTAATTTTTTTTATAGTATTTATGCTTTTATTTTTAGACTGTTGCTAAATGTTGGAGAAAATTATAATAACTATCTACCTTTTTAAGTAAGTCTTAAACAATATCTTACATGCGCATTTTCAACTCATAAAATCATAGGAAACTAACATTTAACTAATAAAAACTTTGCTAGTAACTTTTTTTTTTTGCCACGTTAAGAAAAGTATTATTAATTTGTATCAATGTTTTTTGTATAAGTAACATCTGTATCATTGTATGTACGTTTTCTTAATTTCAGTAATTCTTAATGAAAGAAATAGACTAAAATTTCACTTTAAATTTGTTTAGAAATTGCAAAAACAATAAATAATTGTCACATCAAATTTTTTTACTTATTTTTTTAAGGTTTCTTAATTTCAATCATTCTCTCCTTTTATTTTAAGAAAAAAAATTACGCAGAAACAAATTGAATTAGAACTATATTAAAAAAAATTAAATTTAAATTTTGAATTTTAAAAAACATAAATATTTTATGAATTTTTTTAGTTTATGGTTTTGCTTTAATAAATATTAATATTTAAATATTTTATATTTTTATTTTAATCCATGAAATCTTTTATAGAAAATAAATTTGTGGGATACCAAAACTACCCTTATTAACTTGAAATCATATCGTGTCAAACTGTTGGAATAGTACCGGAGGAGCAGAATAGTTATGCAAGTAATTATAGAGGACTATTTTGACCAAATATAAATATAGGGAACCAAAATATGCAAATGATATAATGCAGAGGAGTGTTTTTGGATTTCAGTCGAACTAATTGCCCTAGTCCCTAACCACACATTGTCTTTCAATAACCACAGTCACCTACTATAGATCGACTCGCTCTTTGGCTGGGCAACCGGGAAACATTGCATACTTACATCCTTACCTCCAGAATTGGTATCTATCTCACTTGCATTTTGGTGGGATTTTGCAGTCATAGCAGTGTTCATTTTCTCTCGCCCCACTCACCTCAGTCTCATCAGTGTCGGGCCTCTGCAAAAACCTCCAAATGCGATCTCTCTGATGAATGAGGCAAATGGAGAGATGAGATTTATTTATGGGTGGTTGCCCCTCTCTATTTCAGCCAGTGATTTCTATGGAATTTGACATATGATAACCAACTACCCTTGAATTCATTTGGACACTGAAGCTGTTGAACCCTATAAATTTCTTTTGCAGGGATTTTCTGTTGGAATATTTTCATTGTTTTGAATATGTAAATTAGAATTTGGTTATGTCTCCTCAACGGCATGAGTTGTTTGAGTAAGATAGCATTTAAATTCAATGTTATCTTCTATACTCAAAAGATAAGTTAAAGTTCTACTACTTTCATTAATATATCTTCTAAGTATTAATGTTAGTAGATGATGTTTAATGGTTTTAACTTGCATTTGTAATCTAATCTCCGTCTGTTTGCACAAAGGCTATTTGGTTACTATAAATTGGATTGCTTGGGATTCATTTGTTGCAGAATATTAATCTACAAGAATTAAACCTTTCTTGTCTTTTTATTTCAAGTGTTCTAGATGGATGGCTTAGTTTAGTGCAAAACTATTATCATCAAATTCAAATTATCTACAAGAATATTTGTCCTGTAACCATTGCACATACTAGAGGGTAAATAAAGCCTAAAGGAAAGTGATTCATCATGATTTGAACCTTTCTTTCCTATTTATTTCTCAGCCACTCCAAATTATATAGCCAACAGTCGTTAGGCTTTATTTTGTATCAAGATGGTCGGTACTCTTAAGGATCTTGTTTCAAACATTGTGAAATTTGACCGCTTTGATGGAGGTGGTTTCACGAGGAAGAAGAGGGTATATCTCTTGCTAGTAGCCCTTAACGTGGCTTATATTCTTACAACACCCAAACCGGCAAGTGACGCTAAAGAAGAAACACTTGATGAACTTCACCGCAGATA